AACAATCACGAATCACGAATTTCTCACGCACAGTTAATCCAAGTATTAATGTACCCTAAACAGTAATTATATATAGTGATTAAATTATATGTCTTCATGCAATCAACAAGTGAAAGGCAGACTATAATTTGTTTGGTCAGTGTCGTCTTAACCACTGTTTTTGTTGATTCTAGTTTCTTACATCATTGCATTATGTCATGAGGCACTTGAATAATGTGCAAAACAAATAAACTGGACTTTATTATCTCTGTTTAATGGGAATAATGTGTTAATATGTTTTAATGTCGGTACCACAGATGTTTCATCTAATCTTTCTGTTTTATTCTTTGTCTTGTTTGCTCTGCCTCTAGTTTATTATGTAGGAGGAAAAATGATTATTCTGTTTGACACACAGTCTCATTCCTTTTTGTATTCATCTGTCTGTCCTCAACTTCTTCCCCGACTATCCTTGGTATGTGCCTTTTCTTTATCATATGCCACTGTTTGACTGACTGGTGACTACAGGCTGTGGCAGGTCGCTCCACTGTAGCCGCTGTCAGAGCAGTTACAGTGGAGATGGTCCAGGACTGACTGCAGCGGGCCGCCGTGTTCACAGCGACTGGAGAACACACCTGAGACAGAAAGAGACAGAGAAGAGGAGAAGAGAAAGAGAAGAGAGAGAGAGAGAGGGGGGGGGGGGGGGGAAGAGATGTACGGTGTGAGTAAATTCTTAAAAAGAGTTCATTAAGATGAGGGTTGATTTATTCTCCTGGATCAAATTATCATTTATTTTAGTAAGAAGGCTCAGTGTTTTGCTCAAGGGCTTTTCAACAGAATACATTTACTGTATTTGCACACATTTGGTCTTGAATAAACCAATTAAACACACTTCTTGATTTTGTCATAAAGCACAATCACAAAAGTTCCTCCTTTGCGATTGGATTTGTGTTGAGTATTAAAACATCCACAGTACGCTGGGAGTAAAGTTTCTTTATTTAAAGGTGGTATAACAGTATCAGGGAGGGTATTGTTGCATGTTTGATTAAAGCCTTTGTATGTTTCACAGAATAATCTGGATACTAGAACACCACATAGGTATAGTAGCTAAAAGGGACCAAGAATATAATAACAGTAAAATGAATCTTTCACCTATTGATGCATTTACAGAGAATTTCAGTGTTTGCTCTTTTAGTTGTGGTGCAAACCTTTCTACTGTTGCCCCAGAGAATAGCTCTGTTCCACAGCTGCTAGCCTTGAGACATTGTTTTGCCCTGTGATAAACTGCATGAGTATACAGGATAAAAACACTGACAGAGACCAGACTGTGCTACAGGTCATTTAAAAGATTAATGAGTAACCCAGGCATATATCCTTAAAGGGGAACCTCCACCTGTTGTACACATCATAGTAAGTTTACAGGTGAGACAAGTTGTATGAAGCCTTTTGCCGCTTCAGCTGCACAATGTCTGACAAATTGCCTTAAGTGATGTCAGTTGAGTCAGTATATGTTGGTGCTGAAGACTAAAAACTGAGTTTGTGGAAGAAACAACCTCTGTAGTCCGCTCCTCATCTCTGCTTGAGGCCAATGGCTCGAGGCTAACATAGCACACCCGAATCACAGACCATAGTGGACCAAGTGGAATAAAAAAGTCAACAACAGTTAACAATAAATAATATCCTTATTAAATTAATAAACCTCCCCCGTGTGAACTGTCACACAGGGGGGTAACTTAATATAGTCAGCCTACGCTACTGTATTTCAGTGTTAGTCATAATGGTGGCAGCTAGAGAACCTAATATTTTCTAAGGTGGTACTGTGTAATGTTTGTAGTTTCATAAACACTGCTAAAAGCGTTTACTGCGGTTATAATGAAAGTAGTAGTGAGCATTTAACCATGCTTTCAAACTCCCACTACTTTTCAAAGAGAGAAAATTACTTCATTAAACTAAATGGGCCTCTTATGAAATGCAGCTTCCTCTTTATGCTGAAGCTTTTCAAGGTTATTTATTTAATAGCCATCAGTACGCTTAAATAAACTTGCTAAATAATGCTAAATAGCAGTGTAGGAGGAATAATATGGCTTTCATTTTTAATATCACTTTTTCTATTTAGGTGAAGATGTGGGAGGTTTCCTCGTGCTGAATGGAAATATGACTTCTGGAGAATAGTCATCCGAAACACCTTTCACCTTGCCTCGGAGAGATCAAAAGAATAATTTCATTATTTCACTGATTTTTCTCTTTTCAGATTTTTCTTTTTCATATATATAAAAAGAAAAAGTTTTCTGCTGAATAGAAAATATACCTTCACTTCTTCTCAGTAGCACATCTTCTCTGATTGAACCGAGCTGCTCTCTTAAAGTGCTGCCAGACTGTTTGAAGAAGCTCTTTAAATGAATCCAGCTCCCAGGAGACTTCACTGAAGCTCTGTGTGTTATTTATAGATAAATATCATACTGCTGTAACTATCATGACATCAGTCCTGTGTGGGAGGGAGGAGAGGGATGAAGGTAACAGAAGGAGGGAGGCAGTGATAAATGTGTGTTGCACTGTATGTTGTGTTTGTCTTTCTCTGCATATAGATGATCTATAGTATACTGGGTGTGGTAGAGGCTTGGAAACTTCAGAAAATGCATGAAAACGATGGGAGAATATATATTCAGAATTACAAGCATTCATTTTTCTATTTCAACGTGCTCACACATTTTTCAGTGACCTGTCAGACACACACCTGTAAACCCGACTCCCATCCCATGAGGGAGACTCTACATAAATCTTAAAAGGCTAATGATCAGGTCATTTATTTCAATAAAAAGTGAGTGCTTTATTATGAGAAAGCAAATACTTATGTGGCAGGCGGCAGTAGAAATGTTGGCACCGTTGCAGTCAACAGTGGAAACCAGCCAACTGCACAGAAACCATATTGTAGGATAAATTCTCCCATAAAAAAAACACTCTAAAATGCCCAACAGAATCAGACTGTGTGAGTCTGAGCCTTAGAGATAACAACAAAAAGGAACAAGCTGAGAACACCGAGTTAGAGAGGACAAGAAAAATCCCATTCACCTCCATTGTATGGACATGGTGACAGAAATCTTTGAGGCTGATAGCTGAAAACCAAATATAGCAAATAAAAAACAAACAACGGCTTGACTACTTTAGGTAAGGGAGAAAATATGTTAAACGGCTACAGCTCAGCCTCTGATGCACTCTGTCTCTGGTAAGACATAAAGACGTTAGGTGACCTCATTCTGCTGAGAAAAAGACAGACAGGGAGGCCGACAGGAGATGATGAGTAACAGTGTTTTTATCCTCACTGGTTGCTTTCCATCTGTTGCAAGACCGGCTGGCACCTCCAGGAGGTTTGACACAGACACACACACACAGTTTTACATCCCTGGTGTTTGCGAAGCTTGGCGCTACGTGTGTGTTGTGTTTTTATATGTCTTTATATTCATAAATACATGTTATTGTACGCTGTCACATACATTTACAAGGGCTTCCTTATGGAAATGTATGTGACAGTGTGTGAGTGTGTGTTTGCCCGAACCCAGCCAGGAGTATTGAAGAGAAAACAGATTACTGTACAGAATCTGCTGCCTCCCTTTTATTTAGATAAAAGCCCTGACTCAGCAGCCTGTCAGCCTGCAACTGTGTGATATGTTTTTTTTTTTTACCTCCATTTATCGCTATACTGCTTTAATCTAACAGTGAGCTGGAGCCTTGCAGATAAAGCACTTAGCTTTCACTTTAAATTCACATTACCACACTGCTTGGTTCTTTTTTTAAAATATATTTTGTTTGTGTGTGTATGTGTGTGGCAGGGTTTCAGGGCTGTAACGAGTGTGCAATACAGTACTCAGTCTGGCAGTAGTGACATCTGGTCTCTTTAAAATGTAGACTGTTGATGACTGCTGGTTCAGTCCATTGAATGAAGAGCAATGACTTGACTAATAACTTAACTGACTCACAATTTTAAACTAGTTTATTTAACTTGTGAAGTGACAATGCACATATACTGTAAATACATTAGGTATGTTTGAGCCACTTTATAGCAGCAAGTGATAAAGAGCGACCCAAGGTTGGCTGAGTAGTTAAGGTAGAAGATACAATGGGTTCAAGTCCCGCTGAACCCATTGTTTCCTTTCCTTGACAGCAAGTTCAGCATTTAGAGCACAAATGTCTTGTGATTCAACTACTAGCATTTATAGTGTACATAATCACACAAATGACAAAGTCAATCTTATTCACAGTCTGTACATACAGTATAAAATGTGTGCTTTTACATCCTCAAGAGGGCAATACAGTAAATGACTTGAAACCTCAAATGTACCTTGAACCTTGTAAGTACTGTAAATATATTTTAAGCTTTGCACATTTATAATAGTTATATACGTTTGGGGCATTAGTTGACACAAGTAATAACTAACGATGAGTAGCTGAGTAATCAACATATCCCAGAATGCCTCGGGAGCCAAAGACATCAATCAATAAAGTGCCTTTGATGTTAGCAGGATGGATAAGCGGTTACTTAAAACAATTTCATTTCAATACTCTCGATTAGCTACCTAGACAGATAACAGCAGGACGGGTTATCTTCACATTGTTCTTCTTTTGCCTGATGGCACTCATGATTGAGTGATTAAGACATTGCCCTCAAGATACAAAGCATACAAGTCCTCATCGGTTCAAGCCCACTCTTTGTATTTACTCTTTTTTTAAAAGCTTTGTACCAGGATGGCCGAGAGGTTAAGGCGTTGGACTTAAGATCCAATGGGCAAGTTGCCCACGTGGGTTCGAACCCCAC